TTTTTTTAATGGAGTCTTGCTTTGTCACCCAGGCTGGAGTGCAGTGGTGCGATCTCAGCTTACTGCGACCTCCACCTCCTGGGTTCACGCAGTTTTCCTGCCTCAGCCTCCCGAGTAGCTGGGATTACAGGCATGTGCCACCACACCCAGCTAATTTTTGTATTTTTAGTAGAGATGGGGGTTTCACCATGTTGGCCAACTGGTCTTGAACTCCTGATCTCAAGTAATCCACCCACTCCAGCCTCCCAAAGTGCTGGGATTATAGGTATGAGTCACTGCACCTGGCCGGCCAGCTCTATTTCTAGCAGAGAGCCAAATCTTCTATAAGAAGGATTTGCAGGACAAAACCAGAATGCTTTGAAATCAGTGACTATTTATTTATTTATTTATTTATGTAGAGACATAGTCTCACTCTGTCATCCAGGCTGGAGTGCAGTGGCATGATCTCGGCTCACTGCTACCTCCGCCTCCCGAGTTCAAGCAGTTCTCCTGTCTCAGCCTCCTGAGTAGCTGGGATTACAGGCGCCTGCCACCAAGCCTGGCTATTTTTTGTATTTTTAGTAGAGACGGGGGGTTCACCATGTTGGCCAGGCTGGTCTCGAACTCCTGACCTCAGGTGATCTGCCTGCCTCAGCCTCCCAAAGTGCTGGGATTACAGGCGTTGAGTCACTGCGTCCGGCCTGAAGCCAATGACTTTAAATTCACTGAAGAAATTTTGAACCTGGTGCAGTGGCTCAGGCTTGTAATCCAGCACTTTGAGAGGCTGAGGTGGGAGGACCAGCCTGGGCAACATAGTGAGACCTCATCTCTAAAGAAACAACAACAAAAAGACATTTCATTAGCTGTCCTGAAGAGGGGAGAGAAAATAGAGAAGATGCTCTTGGGGATAGAAAGAGCAAAGAAGTGGTTCTGCTGTCCTCCCACCAACTTTCCCCACAAGAGGAAGAGGCTACAGGTCTGTGAAGCCCACTCCTCCTCTCTCCCAGGCAGCACACTAGCAGCAAAGCCTCAGAGGAGGATGGGCCTGGTGAACACAATGGGGCCCAGCACAAGGCCTCCAGATTCAGCCAGGAGTTCCCTGTCCCAGGTGGGTGTGGAGCAGAGCACTTTGACTTCAACGGATGGCAAAGGCTTGGCCAGGGATGATGTCAGTGGTGACCATGGAAAACTGAGATTAAAGGACTGTCCTTATGTTCAGGGTGTGCAAGAGCCTCTCGGGTCTGCTAATTAGTAATGGCTGAGACTAAATTTCCACCATCCCTGTGGGATAGGGATTTAGAGTGAAATGTTAATTTGATGTAAATACATTAACACGATATTTCTGGCACACCTCTGTCTCGTAGGCTGAGATTCACACTCATTATGTGAGGAAACAGCTTCTTGGAATTCTCTCCGCTCTGTCTCAGACTCGGTGGTTCTAAGGACCTCGCAGATCAGCTGTGGGTTGAGGCAGGGGACTGAGCAATTGGCTGGCAGGGTGGGGAAACAGGTCGACTCCAGGCTCTAAAAAGCCCTCTGGAGCAAGCTTGACCAAATCCTGCTGCCTCTGCAGGGGACTGGATTTTTCACCACCCTGGACAAGCTAGATGTACGGTCCCTGCTGGCCTGGGACTGTGGTACCCTCTGAGCATAGCTAGGCTGGGTGTCCTGGGACTCCAGGGTGGCCAACCCAGGACTGAGGGAGGCCCCAGGATATGAGTATTTCAGTTTTAAAACCAGGTAAGTCTTGCACACACAGGGACTAGTTGGTCACCTGATCTTGCTCTTGGTTCATTATCTCATCCATCCCTGGCTTCCAGAGAATGTTCCAAAGTCATCTATCTCAGACTGGAGGTTGGAAATGGGATAGGAGAATCCCTCCCCTTTTTCCACAACCACCCAGATGGGACAGAAATTCTATGATCTAGAAAGAGAAGAGGGTCAGGGCTGGGACTTGCCAAGTGGTCAAGTGGGAACACATTTGACTCAATGGGTTTACTCCACCTCTGTGGTTACATCCCTGGTAAATCAACAGCAATTGAATGTTTCTCAGATTTTCCAGCCAACCCTGGTCTCAGCACCAGGGACCAACCAGAAGAGGAGACCTGGAGCTCTTGTCCCTGGTCCTCTAACATTGGTATCTGACAACACCAAGACCAGCCATTTTGGAGTGAAGTTAGAGTACCTGCAATCTAAACTGGCAATCTAACTGGGAGGAGCAGAGAGGGCCTGGCCTGCAGCAAGGCCCGAAATTGTGTAAGTTTCAGGCTCCAGGAAGCGTGGGTCTGCCCTAGAGAGGAGGCTCCTCACCCATCACACTTAGTAAAGAGTCCCCAGGGATTCCTGCTCCCAAGCACCACTCCAGGCTGTGTGGCAGCTATTGACCTCATCCCTCTAAATCCCTCCAGGACTGCCCAGGCCTCTGCAATAAAACCTGGCCGGGGCAATTGCCCAGATTTGCCTGGATTCTCGAAAGAGCTTTGCTGAGCTCCTGTATAGAACTTTGCCCAGCATTACTTTTGACTTTCACAGCCCCTTGTGAAGTAGGGAGTAAAGCAAAAGCTAATTAAGCCACTTAATTTAGAATTGAAAGGAGGTTTAAGATTTCACCTGGAGGAAATGGTTCCAGGGTGGAGAGGACTGTATATTTCACACAGTATACTTTACTTCCCTGAAACTTTCCCTGCCATCTTGGTTATACCACAGCATGTTAGCATTCATGCCCTTCATCGTGAATAGCATGCGTATCTGTGCGTCTATTTAAGCAAATTCACTTCTTAGCGTTATTGAGCATGACTGCATGTCAGGGGCACCAGCTAGGCACTTTCAATAGACAATACCATTTAAGCTTTCCAAACCCATGGGAGGTAGGTACTATTATTATGCTCATTTTAGGGACGGAAACAAACAAAACTTAGGATGTATTTTGTTGGCCAGGCGTGGTGGCTCATGTCTGTAATCCCAGCACTTTGGGAGGCCGAGGTGGGCAGATTGCCTGAGGTCAGGGGTTTGAGACCGGCCTGGCCAACATGGTGAAACCCCGTCTCTACTAAAAATACAAAAATTAGCCAGGTGTGGTAGCGGGTGCCTGTAATCCCAGCTCCTCAGGAGGCTGAGGCAGGAGAATCGTTTGAACCCGGTAGGTGGAAGTTGCAGTGAGTGGAGATGGTGCCACTTGTACTCTAGCCTGGGCCACAGAGTGACTCGTCTCAAAATAATAGTAACACTACTACTACTACTAATAATATATTTTGTCATGAGCTGTGTGCGAGTAGAACTTGAATCTTGAGCCTGAGCCTGACTGGCTCTGTCCTGCCTCTGTCTCTCTGTCCAGAGGCACATAAATGTACACGAAAATATTTCATATGAGTATGTCATGCCACCTATTACTTAGGGGCAAGGATTGTATGGCACAACACTTCTTTAAAATCTCAGAATGCTATGGATAACATTCTACAGGTTTTACAAATTAAAAAAAAAAAAAAAAAAAAAAAAAAAAAAAAAAAAACTGAGGCAGGTCCAGAGTCACACAGTAAGTTAATAAAAAACATTCTGCCTAGAATTGCTGTCTTGGGAATTCAATGTCCATAGAGCTATGGGGTTGGGCACTAGCTCAGGCCACCAGGTGAACAAATTAATGAAAGAATAAGAATGAATGTATGTGTGAAGAGTGAGTAATTTATGGGTGAGCTGGTTTGAGATCATCACAGTCAGATCTGGCAACAAAAGGTGTCACGGAGCTCCTAAGTGGTGTAAGATTAACCTCCAGGTTCCCTCAATGCCAAGTCAATTGCCAAGGATCCTGCCCACCTCTTGCCACGCACTTCTCCCCTCTGGACCCTTTTTCTCTTGTTGAGGGGATTGGGGGTGGTATTTACCACCTCTTCAAAAGGAATCAAAGGGAATCAAAACACACAATAATCTCAAAAGGGCAAAGATGTTTTCTCCCTTTCTGCTCCCCACCCGCAACACAAACACATATCCCAAGCACTATTTGGAGCCAGATACTGTATGACTCAGCTTGCTTTTCTCCCAGGAGCTTTACTGGAGCAATCTTGAGGAGGAGTTAAGTATAAAAATGCAGTAGCAGGTAGGGGAGAATTTTCTACCATAGCATGTGAATGGACTGGCCTTTTAGGAGCTCAGGAGAAGTGAAGACGAGGCCAGAACCAAGCACACCTTTCCCATCCCTCCCAGTCCCAGCTGCGTGCGTGCCAGGCGATAACACTGCTACTCACATCTGCCTCGTTCCAGAGCCCGGGGATGCAGAAGGACTCCAGCAGGTCACTACCACACAGCAGCAGGATCCGCAGCTCTGAGGAGGGGGAGGAAAGTTTGCAAAGGGAGTAAGTGGAGGCCTGGGTAGCATTCGACTCTCAGCCTTCTTCCCCTAGTGCATACATAACTCTTGCACCTTTGGGGCTGTGGGGCCAGGTTCTCCCAGCTGACGCTGCCCCAGGGCGTGTGCAGTGCAGAAACCCCTGTTCCCCTTTCCCTCAGGCTCATTTCCACAGCACCCTCATTCCCTGCGGGAGGAATTACTCATGCAAGAAGAGAAGGTCATAGAGGGTGACCAAGGGCTCTGGCTTTCCCAGGACAGGGATCTTTCAGGGCTAAGCCAGGACGGTTCGTTATTGTAACGGCGGCTGAGCCAGCGGCGCGCCTTGTCTAAGGTCTGAGGTCCTCTTGCTTGCTCTCTGTCAAGCTCGAAGGTCAACGGAGTTTGGATTCTCTGCTACTGTGCATTGTCTGGAGTTTGTCTCCCTGACATGGTAAGGGGTGTGAGGGGACATGGAGTGTACCTGGAGGTAGCTGAGTATATCAAATGTGTCACATGGCCGCTGTCCCCAGCAAAGGGCTTGAGGGCAAGGCTGAGGCCCCTCACGGTGCCCGTACTTTTCCCGGCACCCAGACGCACTTCCTGCTTGTCCGTGGTTTTTCTTCCCTCATTAAGCCCACACCGAATTATCCCAATGAGGCCCACTGTTGTTTAAAACAGGCAGCAAGTGGACTCACTTAATAAACTGAGCAGTGGGGAACAGCGTCCTCACCCAGGAGGTGGCTCAGGGTGGAGCATAGCGAGGCTCCAGCCATCCCGGCCCTCCCAGCAAGAGGCCGAGGCTGGCGGGCGTGTCGTCTGAAACAGCAAGGCAGCCCTGCACTGAGGTCACCACCAGCTTTCCACGGACAGCTGCCAGCACAGGCCCTGCCTGCCCGAGGCCAAGGCCAGAGATGAGAGAAGCTGCGGGCGGCCCTGCCTGCCTAAGACCCTGAGGAGGACTTTCAGGTGGGAAGCAGTCCCGTGCTGTGAAGTGAGTTTCTAGGTGGGACTCCTGAAGCAGGGGGGAGGCTGATGGGCCAAGGGTGGGCAATGCCAGCATCTCATGGTCCCTGGGACACGGCAGCCCTCTCACCTCAGGGAGCCCCACTGAGGGCTGGGATGGTGACTATGAAATATTCCTGCAGCCTGTCCCCTCTCCTCTCCATCAGACCTTAGTCTAATGATCTGTTTGTGTGCAGGGGTTTTGCTTTATCTTGACAGCCCCAGGGTCTGGCAGAGTCACTGGACACAGAGGTCCTGCAGGCTGCCTTCAGGGCAATCTGGGATGGCTGTGCTGCCTATCGGGGCCTCTGCTCTTGCAGCATGGGGTCACTGGGGAAAATGTTGGCCTGAGTCAGTGGCGCCTCTGCGTTGCGCCATGGGACTTCTGACCTAACTCCCCAGCGGTGGAGAGGAAGCGCGCTTGCTATGTCTGACAGGAGCCAGGCTGGACTTATTTCTGGGAGCCACTCGGGCTTCTAGGTCAGTTTTCTGTAGAAAGGGCACGTCTCTGTAATTCTGGCTACCTAAAAGTCCAGTTAGATCAAGCTTGTCTACCCGTGGCTTGTAGGCCACATACAGTCCAGGGTGGCTCTGAATGCAGCCTAAAATAAATTAGTAAACTTATTTATTTATTTTTGGAGACAGAGTCTTGCTCTGTCACCCAGGCTAGAGTGCAGTGGTGTAATCTGGGCTCACTGCAACCTTTGCCTCCCAGGTTCAAGCAATTCTCTTGCCTCAGCCTCCTGAGTAACTGGGATTATAGGCATGCACCACCACACCTGGCTAATTTTTGTACTTTTAGTAGAGACGGGGTTTCACCAAGCTGGCCAGGCTGGTCTCAAACTCCTGACCTCAAGTGATCCACCCACCATGGCCTCCCAAAGTGCTGGGATTATAGGTATGGGCCACCATACCTGGCGTGTAAACTTTTCTTAAAACATTATGAGGTTATTTTGGTGATTTTTTTTTTTTTTGAGACAGAATCTCGCTCTGTAGCCAGGCTGGAGTGCAGTGGCCCGATCTCAGCTCACTGCAACCTCCACCTCCCAGGTTCAGTCAGTTCTCCTGCCTCAGCCTCCCAAGTAGCTGGGACTACAGGCATGCGCCACCACACTCAGCTAATTTTTGTATTTTAGTAGAGATGGGGTTTCACTGTGTTGGCCAGGATGGTCTTGATCTCTTGCTACATGATCCACCCACCTTGGCCTCCCAAAATGCTGGGATTACAGGTGTGAGCCACTGCTCCCGGCTTTTATTTTTATTTTTTTATTTTTAGCTCATCAGCTATTGTCAGTATTAGTGTATTTTATGTGTGGCCCAAGATAATTCTTCTTCCAGTGTCACCCAGGGAAGCCAAAAGATTGGACAGTCCTGTATTAGATGGTCACGTCAATAAGGCACGTGCTGGCCCTCAGCTTTCCCTGTATCAGTGGTTCTCAGCTGAGGGCAATTTTGCAATTGCCAAGGGACATTGGCAATATCTGGACACTTTTGGGTGTTAGGACTGGAGAGGAAGGGCGGCATGCTACTGGCATCTAGTGGGTAGCGGCTAGGAGCACTGCTAGACATCCTACAATGCACAGGAATGCGCCCCCCACCCCCAACACAGAATTATCTGTTCCCGAATGTCAATTAGTGCCAAGGTTAAAAATCCCTGCTTACAGCCATGAAAACGAATCTCTTTCCTATTCCCAAGCCAGGGTCGCAGTATCCCAACCAAATATAATAGCACTTTTCTTTTTTAAGCCAAAGCGCAGAGAGTTCCAGAGTGGGATCTCTGTCACCTTTTCTTGCAGGACCAGCGCAAACATTTAAGTCACAGACAAGCGGTCCCAGCCAGGCTTGGGATCCCACGTGTGGCCGCTGGAGGGCAGCAGTGACTTCTCCCAGTTTGTGTCTGAGACTAGGGCAAGTTTCCAACCCACCAGCCTGTGGCCTGGGGCAGCCCGGGAGGAGCAGTTAGCCTTTAGAAGCATGTAAATAGGGTCAACAGATGCTAATGGAGCTAGGAGAAAACGGCTTTTCCTCATTTAGTGTGCAAGGAAATATCAAAGAGGGGAACATGTGAGCCCCAGGGCCTCACACAGCGCAGGAATGAAGAGTCGGGAGGCAGAGTAGCTCCCTTCCAGCTTCTCTGGGCCAGCCTCCTTCCCCAGGTCACCCTGATCCAGGGCCACGAGCCGGAATGCAGCTCTCTGTCCACACTCCTCTCCCAGGAATCCCGGCTATGTGAAGCCCCGGCCCCGCAGCCCATCCCAGTTTCCACTGCACCCAGCAACCACCTGGAACCATGTCAGGACCTGAGTCCAATCTGTGGCTGCCGAGCTCTGCTTGCTCGGAACCCAAGTGTTCTCCATTCTCACCCCTCACTGTCTCTTCTCTGTCACATGCAGGTGGACCCTCCCTCTCAGTGAGCACAGGGGATGTGGAGGGAGACAGGCAGAGCCTGGGGAGGCAGGAGGTGAGAGGTTACTCCCCAGCTGCATTTTCCATCCCTGGCGCCTGGCTCACCATAACTCCAAACTGCTACAGAGCAAGAAGAGTAAGCAGAGACCCCTGCCCCTCCAGAGGGAGCGGTGAGCTAGTGGAAGTGACCACAGCAGTGCTCTGTGCAGCACTGATCATCAGTGTCCTCTCTGGGAGGGGACTCCTCGAGTCAGGGTGGGGAGAGCCTGATCTACCCACCTGGGTGCTGGAAAGCCAAGCAAGGCTACGGCTGAAGCTTGCCATAATGGAAAGAGAAGTGCACATGGAATACAATGAGAAGTCCTAAGGCTGCTCTGAGCTCACTACGTGGGAAGGCGGCAGGTCTTGGCCAGGCTGGAACTGCAGGGAAGTGGAGTGCAGGAGCTTTCAGCCTAGCCCGGCACCTTCACTCCCATCCTTGCCTGATGGGCATTCTGGGGCTGCAGAACCTACAGCCAAATGCTCCTGCCTGTTTTGGGGACCAACCAGGAAGGCGGGTGCTCCTTCCTGTGGTCTTCAGAGACTGACATGCTGGTCAGTAAAGGATATTAAAATAGGCCAGGTATGGTGGCTTACGCCTGTAATCCCAGCACTTTGGGAGGCCGAGGCGAGTTGATCATGAGGTCAAGAGATCGAGACCATCCTGGCCAACATGGTGAAACCCCGTCTCTACTAAAAAATACAAAAATTAGCTGGGCACGGTGGTGCACGCCTGTAGTCCCAGCTACATGGGAGGCTGAGGCAGGAGAATTGCTTGAACCTGGGAGGCAGAATTGTAGTGTGCCAAGATCGGGCCACTGCACTCCAGCCTGGTGACAGAGCAAGACTGTCTCAAAAAAAAAAAAAAAAAA